GGATGCCGCTGCGCCAGGCGGGGCGGGGCCAGCGGCCTGTGTCGGAAAGGATGGTCCTGCGGGTCCGCCGGGGCTTGAGGACAGCCTGCCTCCGTAACGCGGACACGGAAATGCGTTCGCGCGCGTGATCAGGCTCTGAGCGAGAAACTGTTGGCCTGCTCAAATTAGGGTGATCTGAGGGCGGTTTATTTATAAAGGGACTAATTAGAGCGGTGTGGATGGGTTTAGGGAACTACAGGAATCGTGCAGGAAGCCTGGCCGGTGACGTCAGTGGCTCCCAGGAAAGGGGGAGTAGAGGTTCCCCACCCTGGAAGGAGAGTCTGTAGGACCGCTGCCTCCTCATTGCCAGCACAAAGTGACCAGCAGGAGAAGCTCGAAGAATAAATACCTGACCTCTCGCCCTCTGATCTGATTTTGCCTCTCCTTGGCCGAGCCCATTGCTGTAGGCCCTACAGTGTAGGGGGAGGTGGAGAGGGTGGGAGGGGGTGTGGAGCAACTGTAGAGAGAGAGACAGAGACAGGAAGGGAGGGAGAGACAGAGCAGGCACATCTCATGACAGGCATTGTGAGCCAGCTACAAAGCAGTGTGGGTAGTAGGATCCCAAGTATGTGAGCATGTGACTGTGGAAAGGGAACTGTTCACAATGATGATGGGGGCGGGGGGGGGGGGGGATAATTGCAAGTGATTTGTTTTGTTTTGATTTTGTGCTTTTCTGTGTATTCCACATTTTCACTCATCTATGTAACTTTTGGAGTGATTAAGTATAAACATTATTACTGAGGTACGATTTATATTCAATAAAACGTACAGTTCAGTCCTGGCTGGTGTGGCTCAGTTGGTTGGAGCATCATCCAGTGCGGCAGCCAATCCACGTTTCCCTCTCACGTCAATGTTTGTTTTTCTTTCTCTCTCCCTCTCCCTCTTGCTCTAAAATCAATAAAAACACAGTTTTTAAAAAAATTTTTTTTTTAAATATATTTTATTGATTTTTTACAGGGAGGAAGGGAGAGGGATAGAGAGTTAGAAACATCAAGGGCTAAAAAATATTTTTAAAAATAAAATGTTCAGTAAGTTTTGACAAATGCATATCCCACTGTAACCTCCACCAGAGGCAACCACCGTTCTCAGTTCTATTATCAGGCCTTAGTTTTGTCTGTTCGAGAACTTCATATAAATGGAGTCCTACAATAAGTGACCTTTTGTGTGTGGCTCTTTCACTGAGCTTCATGTTTTCAAGGCTCATCTATGTTGTAGCTGAATCAGGGCCCTTCATTCCTTTTTATTGGTGAATAGTATTCCATTAAATGAATATACCACTTTGTTTATCCATTTACATAATGGACACGAGTCATTTCTAAGTTTGGTGATGATGAATAAAGCTGCCCTAAAGCTCATGTACAACTCTTTTTGTGGGCATACGTTTTATTTCTCTTGTTTAATTACTTAGGAGTAAAATTGCTGGGTGATGGGGTAGGTATATGTTGAACCTTATAAGAACTTGACAGTCTTCCATCATCTTATACTTCCCCCAGAAGTCTGAGAGTTCCAGTTGCTCCACATATTTGTCAACACTCGATGTTGTCGGTCTTTTTATTGCAGCCACCCTAGTATACAAAGTGGTATCTCATTGCAGTTTAATTTGCTTTTCCCTGCACTGTTGGTTGAGTGATGCCCTAAGTGCTTGTCTTGACTCCTGGGCATTACCAGCCTGCCCTGTGCCCAGCTGAGCACAAGCCACCCTCCTTCAGTGGGAGCCACCCTCAGGGAAGAGTCACCAGTTTCTGCAGTAGAAGCCAGTGGCATTCACAGGAATAAGGAGGGCTGAGGTGATGTGGACAAGGCACCAATGGGGTCTGTACAGGTGGTAATATGAGACTGTAGATTTCAGATCCTGTGGTTGGGCCTGTGTAGGCTCCATGAGTTGAGTCAGAGGTGAGTGCTGGTCAATTACAGCAGGCTTCCTGGAGGAGGCAAGCTGTGAAGGGTGAAACATGGGAGAAAAAAAGAGAGAAAAAAGGAAGGTGTTCCTGGAAAGAGCACAGCTGTAACTGACATTGGACACTGGCAAGACCAAATAACCAGTGGAGGCTGAATTTTTCATTTTCTGATCATAAAGCAAAAGTTAACCTTGCACTCCACGCCAGACTATGGGAGGTCTGGGGCCACATTCACCCCCAGAGCGAGGCCCATGTTCCCAGAGCCAGAAGGGTGGCCCTTCCAAGGACAGAGCAAGCCTGCCACTCCAGCCTCTGCCTCTCTCTGTGACCCTACGATGGTACGATGACTGCGTCACAGAGGATGAGACACTCCCTGACAAAGGCAGAGTCTGGGCAATAAAGTGAGAGCGGTGAGATCGGTGAGAGCGGTGAGAGCGGGGAGAGCGGGGAGAGCAGTGAGAGCGGGGAGAGCATGCAACTGCAAACTGGAAGCATTTTATTAATCCACCTGAAATATGTAGACAATGTGTTTTTGTCTTAAAACTGCCAGTGATTCATTACTTCTCCGTTACACTAATGTGAACATCTTTGTGGTTTCCTCCCTGGGCTCTGAAAGTTCTCGATGTGAAGGAAATTCAAGGGAAGGGAAAGGAAAGCCTCAGAGCCACTGGCTGTGCAGAGCTGAAGGCTCCTAACACCAGGGGCCACACAAAGTGAGCAGGGAGGAAGCCCCCACAAGCCAGGTAGCAGCTGAGATCTGTAAAGTCGCTGTGGGACTGGTGAAAATCTCTACTTTTTCCTGGACTCAGTTTCCCCATCCCTGAAAAGAGGTGTCCACTCCCCTTCAGGCCAGGGGCCCACACTCCTGAGCACCTGCCATAAGTCAGGTCTTGGGCTCGATAAAGACGATCTCATTGGGAGAACCAAGATGGCGGCGTAAGGTACAGACCTGTGCATGCTGCCTCCCACAACAACATCGAGACTACCAACTATAAGACAAACAGCTATCATATCATTCCATGGGAAAGCTGGCCCAGTGGAAGCTCTACAACTGGAAGGAAAGAAAGAAGAGCATTGAGACTGAGTAGGTTGTGCAAAGGCTCCAAGAACGGAGGTATGGAATCGCGCGCCAGGCAGGCAGCAACTGGATGTGCGGTTTTTTTCAATCAGAAGGGTTTGCAGACTCTCGAGTCCACTGAGCTTGTTTGGGGTGGGATTCTGAGGTCCCAGACCCCTATGGGGAGAGGCGGGATGGCCATGCAACGGGTCGGAGAGCGAGGGTGGCTTGCTCGCGGAGCTGCCCATCAGCGCTCGGAGACGTGGGGACCTCGAGTCGCGGAGAAGCGAGGAGTCGCAGAGACGCCATTGCCCTTGGCCCCGCCCTGGTGATTCGCCAAGAACAGAGATGTGGAGTCTCCCGGCAGGCGGGCTGCAACTGGATGCCCGGTTTTTTTCAATCAGAAGGGGATGCAGACTCTCGAATCCACTGAGCTTGTTTGGGGCAGGATCCTGAGGTCCCAGACCCCTGCGGGGAGAGGCGGGACGGCCTTGCAGCGGGTCGGAGAGTGAGAGTGGCTGTCTCGCGGAGCTGCTCACGGCACTCGGGACGCGAGACTCGGAGTCACAGAGAGGCGAGGAGTCGCGGAGACGCCATTGCCCCTTGCTCCGCCCTGGTGATTCTCTGAGACCCCGCCCTACTCAATTTACATCCCCGCCCAAGCTGTGCCAGTGGCACAAAGGGAACCACCTGTGCTTTTGCAACCCAGCCCAGCAGACTGCAGATTTCAACTCCTCGCATCCATAAGGAACACACTCAAGAAGCGGAGTCAGGTTTGGAGGAAGCCGGAGCCGGACCCGGCTGGGCCGGCAACATGGAACCGCTGTACCAGCAAACGCACAGGCAGGTCCACCAGATCCAGTCTCACATGGGACGCTGGGAGACGGTAGACAGGCAGTCTGTGCACTTGGTAGAAAACGAAATCCAAGCAAGCATATCAGATATTCAGCCACCAGGAACGCCTGGAGATTTTGTCCAGCGAGGAGCTGCCCAACAAAGGACAGAATGTCAAACTTCGTGTCACTGAGATGGCCCCCATGAGGCTGAGACGGCCCCCGTAAGGCCGAGACGGCCCCCGTGAGGTTGAAACGGCCCCTGTGAGGTTGAGGCAGCCCCCGTAGGGCTGAGGCAGCCCCCGTGAGGCTGGGATGGCCCCCAGACGGCCCCGATGAGGCTGAAACGGCCCTGGTGAGGCTAAGATGGCCCCGGTGAGGCTGAGACCGCCCCGGTGAGGCTGAAACGGCCCTGGTGAGGCTAAGATGGCCCCGGTGAGGCTGAGACGGCCCCAGTGAGGCTGAGACGGCCCCGGTGAGGTTGAGACGGCCCCTGTGAGGCTGGGACAGCCCCTGTGAGGCTGAGATGGCCCCTGTTAGACTGAGACGGCCCCTGGGAAGCTGAGAAAAATACCACATGAACTCACTCATTTATGGATAATAAGGACCATTATAGACTGA